TTCGCAAAGATGGATCTATAACCTGTTTGGAGAGATGTTGGGTTCACAGGAAGTCTCATGCTCAACAAACGAAGAAAAGGACTAAATGATGGTTTATAGAATCACGGAAGCATAACGTGTAAAAACGAACTAGCTTTATGACGAAAACAACAAAATCCACCAAAAATAAGCGATATGCACAAACCTCAAATTCGATTACGTCCAGGTTGGCGATCAACAGTGGCAACATATTCAGATTGATCAGTTCATGTGTGACATCTGTGATGATTTCGTTAATTCTGGTTCGTTCTGAATTAGATAGTTCGGCATCCCGTTCACGACCGGTCAATCGAGTGTCAGACTTGTCCGTGAGGAGCTCGCGCAAACTGCTCAACGCACGAGCAATTTCTTCCACTGATTTCCGACGCTCTTTTTCCGGTTTACTCTGATTGCTTAGAACCTAACGAATATGAAAAAACATCAATCTCAGACGAAAAGATGGGAACCTACGAGTAGATTTTCGTGAACCACTTGGATGAGCTCTTTGGGGCTTTTGGGTTTTCCGAAAAGCGGCATTTTTGGAATGTGATTGCTGATGAGGTGGCTGTTGTGGTTCCCGAGCGAGCTGGAATATGTAGAGAACAGAGACCATAAATAGTTGGCCAGAGGAACTAAGCCATAGCTGAACACGATGAGTAGTGTGGGTGCGTCTTCGCGGGTGGATGTATGAAGAGCCGCACGGAAGAGATCACTGAGGATGAAACGCAACGCAAACAAGTTTAGCACGTTGTAAACAATGATGCGCAAATAAACGAAAGAATATGAAACAGAGCAGAATGAGAACGACAACCTAATGAAAGAAAGAAGAACAAAGTGTACAATCACGATCGGGTGTTGAGATGTAGATAAAAAAGAATAGCACATACTGTGGAACTGGATGTCATGAAGGTAGAATAATAAAACAATTAACTTCAGAGGATGGTAGTCAGCGAAAATACCGTGTGCAGGGGAATAAACAGAACCTACTGGTCGACTAAAATCTCTCTATATTAAGATGAATTAGGACACAGTCAACAAGATGAATGATTCAATATTATAGACATATATATATATATATATGTAAATAGCGTAGTATCATTAGTGTTTCGGATTAGTTAGCGTCAGGCCCCTCTTTTGTTATACGCAACATTTACATATGATACCCATTCGTGGTAAAGAAACTCTGCTCTGGTCTGCCGCTGTATCAGTCGTTTTGCCGGCTTTTTACTTCAAAAATGCATCCCATGAAGTAACTGGTTATCCTCAATAGTTCCAACAGTCATACGGTATACGATTCGCTAATCTTATGGTGCAATGTAGCACAATCCAAATTTTTGTCTGAGACTAGGATGAAATAGCTTGGTTAGATGTGGATTGAGAAGAACCAGTTGCAGGTTACGAAAGACACGAATGTCGGCACTGGGTTCAGATAAATTCACACCATTGCGAATCTGCCAGGGCAATAGAATTAGTTAATACCGAACACAGAAGTAGAGTTCCTTCTTTTCTTTTTCATTTTTACTTTCAATAAATACGAAATGAGACGATTTTCAGGGAATCGACCGAACAAACGGCTACCATACAACATGATGGGGAGAGTTAGGTGATCGTGGTGGGATTTGAACACACGTCCTCCGGGTGATGATTTGGTGATCTTCAACACTTGGCCACTACCACCTATATTGATATTTTGCTAATTACATGACCGTCAGGTAATGCCTTAATCTGTCAGCTACGAAACGTAAAATTAGAGTGTAGACCAGGAGACGCTAAGTTAAAGTTGATCAGAATCAGGTATTACTGTGGGTTTGTTATATCAAACTCTAAAATTTGAATGTTGGTTCATTTGTCTACCTAGATAGACGCGGTGGTGGTGGATTTTCATCCGTATATTACGCTCACCATCCCCATACATTTTTTTTGACCAATCATACCTATGTGTTTGTCGTTGCATCAGGATGGTCCGGTGACCACCAGAGTAAATTTTGCAAACCGGTTTTTGAGGCTCAGTTTGTAGGGTTGAAAAACACGTTGACAAAGTGCGACAAAGTACCGTAACATATTAGGGTTGCGGCTATAGCCGGGTTAGAAACTTAAGGTGACGAAATCGTAAACTCCAGAGGTCTCGAGACACCTAGAGAGCGGAGTATGTAATAAGAAGTCTTCCCAAGTTGATAGTTACTGCTGTGAGCGTTATTTGACCGCTCACAATCTGAAACGTGCTCGGGTAAAGTGAAAAAGACGGAAAAGTAAAGCACTTAAATCTACAATATGGTTGCTGATTGTTCAACTACGTAGTGGTCCCGCACACTAACAGTTGTGTAACAAAGAATAATACTCTTGTACGAACTAACCAAATTCGAACTACCCGATTAACCACCAGGATCGATCAAAACCTGGGGTAGGTATATGTATATGAAGGGTGGTTAGTGAAAGCGAACAAGTGAAACAACAAACAAACATGAATATTAAGACGTAATGCAAACCTAATGTTGTTGTTGTTTTTTTATAATAAAAAAGATCACTAGAGCTGAAGTATATATAACAGAGCACGCAAAAGGGAATAGGATGAGCGAAACCCACAGCGTTGGAATGATCAGATCAGTGCGAAAATAAAAAATGTAGACTGACAAATTCAGACGCAAATGATGAGACAAAACAACATGTAAACTAGAAAGAGCAAAGAAAGAGCTACTAAGAAATCGTTGCAGTGATCAGTGACCCGCGCACCGCTGGACCAACACCATGCCCAAAATAACAGAACGAAAGACAGCAGGTCACGAAGCAGAACTCGACCCAAAGACATACCCGTGACTTCGAGGCATCCATTTGGTAAACACGGAACGGTTTCGATCACCAGTGGACCGCATATTCTACAGGATTTGCGGTACACAGAAGATTTATAAACAATTCAAACGCCATGGGACGATTACAAACTATCAAGTTTTTAGACAAACATGCAAGAATTGACAAAGGTAATTAGGCATTTCGTTAGACTGATTAATTGTTTTTTTCTTGAACGGTTATCAAGAACAGAAAGGTTCACTGCATCCGTAGACAATCAAAAAAATGAAGAAATATTATCCTATTGTGACCAAAACTATGAGAAATGAACCATGCAATTACGAAGATTAAATCCTCATTTATGAAAACCGGCTTTTAACGCAAAAGAACTTGAAATGGTGAACAGCATAATGGCCCAAAAAGTATGTGATACTGAACTGCAGTTGAGTGGTAGGGGGGATTAGAAGGTTGGATCTCAGAGGCCGAAGCACGCTGGATACAGTGATTCAACTCGACTGGGTACTATTTGAGGAATCACACACGTTCATTTGCAGGCACAATTCTCTTGGGACTTATCTCAGCAAGGTATTCATAGGATCCAAATATCCACACATTCTGTTAGAGAAATCGACAGAAGATATGACGCCATGACAGCTTTTGATTATAACTGTAGGATACATTCACACGTGAAAAAACTACGTAGGATGTTGCTCATCGGAAAATATAAAAAGGGTATATGAGCGTTTATTTCCTGATTTGTAGAGAATGACCAATTCGAACGGCAGCAGTGTTCGAGCTAATCAACATGATAAAAGAACTTCATCCAGTCTACCTCAAAACTAGAGAGAATATGCAAAGCATTCGGACTGCAAGGGTGAAATTGCCGTCTAATGCTATTTGTTGGTGTTTATACAATTAGAAAACTTGTGGAGGATTCAAATACACCCAAGCTGCTGGAATCTACAGAGAGCCTTTCAAACCTCAGTATAGTCGGAATGGGTGCATCGGGTTGCATCTCGAATCGCCTCCGCTAAGTAAGATCAGTAGAAAGAAACACAGAGAAGCTCGTCAAATATACAGAAACAAACGACAGCATTTACGTTTCCCGACCAAGACGAAACCAAGTTCGGATGAGGAAAAATCTGGTTGCACTACTTTGGATCACAGTTATGCTTTTTCGGTGTCTATAGGAGGATCATTTGATTAACTGAATGTTTTATTTTGGCTCGTATGAATTCGTGGATAACAATGTTTGCGCTGGTTTCGTTATATTGTTCTTACTTCATTTCAAGAGTTCGGTTATTCCCTACTGGCTTCTTGTACAAGCAGCGAAATTGTTACGGCCGACAAAGGGCACTGAACAGCTGTATCTTCTTTGCTTGGACTGACCGGTTAGTAAATATTTTACGCGAACGCCTAACAGAGGATGAGTTGGCAACACGGATATAGTAGACCATCGAAAATAAAGCGCCGCGATTTGGTGATAATTTGGTGCAGATCGTGATCTTGGTTTTCTTACAATGACGGATACCGTAGATAGACAGGTTAAGGTTCACTGCAAACTATCAAGTGTTTTGGGCTAATCATCAATCAGATAACGCCAACCAGAGAGGTATTAGGCCTTGGTGGTTCTTCGATTAGTTTCGTCTGCGTTCGCCATCGGAAATGACCGGCCCATTGCAACTGGGGGCTCTGAAGAAGGACGGATAGATAGTTGTCGTACTGTTTACTCAATTCTTCACTGATCACGCTGTCGCGCCGTTTAAGTTTGTGGATTTGACGTACAATTCTTTAGTCAAATAATTCTGACCTGGTATCCTCAACAAATGGAAGCCAGGTTCCGCAACGAAAGAGTACCGTCATGATCGAGTCATCGTGTCACGCCACACACATCGTCAACCAACAGTCCTAGACTTAATTCTCACCGTGGTTATTGCCGGGCAAGATTCTGCTGCAGGACCTGGGTAGAAAAAAGGTAACTTGGGATGAGGCCCTATGCGAGGTGGATCACCAAACCTGGCAAGGCTGGTGGATGAGCCTGTCCAAGCTGGG